CTTGACGTGTAGAATAACTGGTCCTGGTAAGCCTAGTGGACCGAATATCTGTGATATGTCAGACAGGATGGTGCGTTTTGTTACTCGAAGTCTATTGAGGGATTTTACACGATAATATAATTTATCTTGGTGTGCATCCCAATAGGGTCCTAGTGTCTGCTTCTTTTTCCGATTTAATTTCAATTTCTGTTTTTGAATGTTCATCGTAGTTTAACAGCTTGGCGTTGTTAGCAGCCCATTTTCGAAGTGTGAAACCTGCAGTGCGTAAAATTGTAGTTAGTTCTTCCTTTAGAGTTTGAGCGCGTGCAAGAGAATTTGTTCCTGTCAGCAGATCATCGACGTAGAAATCCCGAATGATGATTTGACTGCTATCAGGAAAGGTGTTATTGTGATTTTCGCGCAATTGTCGCAGGGCTCGAGTTGCTAAAAACGGTACTGATGCAGTCCCATAGATTACGGTGTTCAGTTCATAAATCTTTAGTGATTCTGATTTGTGAGATCCAGAATATGCGTTGAAAACAACAAATACTTGCCGATACATCTTCTCAATATCAGCCGATAAAACATACTTATGTTTCCGAAACCTTACTATTATTGAGAATAGATCCTGTTGTACAATTGATCCGATATGTTGAACGTCGTTGATGGATAGATCTGATGTGGTCTTAGCTGAACCGTTAAATACTACACGTAGTTTGAAGGTGATGCTTGATTGCTTAAAAATTACGTGGTGTGACAAAAAATATGTTAATGTGGATTCAGGAATGTTGATTTCGCGCATGTGTCCCAATGCTTCATATTCTATCATAAATTCTGTTGTTTAAGTTCTGGATGTTTATCAAGCCTTTGTTCGAGTGTTAGGAATCTTTTCCGTGCTTGTTCTTGAGAATCTTCTAGATTGTGTATTGTTTTTTTGAATGGGATTCTTACAATGAAGCGTCCGTTGCTGTGTCAAACAGTGTTTTGTAGGAAGTGTTCTTCAGTTGGATCAATTATTGACGAGATTAATTAGGTTGATATATTATTTTCTATGTCCCAAAATTGCTCTATCTGCTTATGAAGCTGTTCATTCATCACTAATAGCGAATTGCAAAATGATTGTGAACGTTGTTGAGTACTGTTCGATGGAATATTAAATCTGCTGGCAACAATCCATCCCAATTGAGTTTTTTGTAGGATGGGATTGTTTGGACCTAATGAATGTCTACCGATGCATTGGAGATCCCAGAATAATCCTGCGCCAATTATTATATCTATCTTGTCAGATTTGTTAAAATGCGGATCTGTAAGTTTTAATCCACGAAGTATAGAATGGGAAGGATGTTCTTGTAATGTTTTCAGTTATAGTTGGTAGAACAAGACACGAGATGACAAAAACCATTATATTTCGATGATAGTTGAAGGCGTGAGCTGAATTGTTGCGTATGGATCCCCAATCCCCACAACGCGAATGTCTGATTCGGTACAAGATAAACCAAGTTTTCTTACCATTGCACTGGTTATGAAGTTTGATTGAGAGCCTGAATCCAATAATGCTCTGCACTCGTGTTTTTGTCCATGCTAATCCTTTATGATTACTACTGCTGTGGACAAAATCACTGTTTCTATTGATGATTGCAAGAAATATGATTGGACTGGATCCTTTGGTTTTGTTTCGTTTGTTGTTGTTGAGGGTGAATTCACTGTTGAAAGCCTTGTATCTTACCTTTGTTGTGATCAACATGCAAAAGGGTGTTGTGTTTGTTGCCACAAATTTTACAAGAACTGCGAGTGCAATCCTTGTTTGTGTGTCCAGTATTTAGGCAATTGAAACATGCCAATTTGTGCGTAGGTGGTACGTGTGTTGACAGATAATCTTTTAAATTCAGCACAGTTGTAAAGATTGTGTGAATTATTGCACAAGGGGCAAAGGGTTTGTGGGGCAGCAGTGTATGTGACCGTCTATCCCATCCGAGTTCGAACACTCTTGTTTACAATCTGTGGTTTAGAGGGTTGTGGTAGTGGTCGTCTTTCTCTATGATCGTCCTTTCCAAATAAGAACACTGCCTTTCTAAAAAATTGGTGAGGTGTGATAATGTAATGTTTCCAATTATGAATGATTGTGCCTTCTCCTATTTCTTTTTTGTCACTGGGTCCAGTTTGGCCGATAATAAATAAACCATGAAGACATCCCAATTGTCCATGTTCTCTTTTAAGGCTTGCAATGCCAAGAGATTGCTGTTCGTGTTGTTTAATAGCCTTCTTAATCCAGAAAATGATTTTTTGGTTAATACAGAAATTTCGCATAAAGTTCGCATGTGACTTTGTTTCAGGAGTCTTTTCTTTAATGTCGTCCAAGCAACTGTGTAGTTGCGTTTAGAGATGCCGAGGGTTTCTATGACTGTCGCTGCATCGGCTTTAAGAGATGATTTCAAATAATGAAATCTTTCAATATCTGATAATGAATCATTGTTATGTATTAATGACTTGAAGGTGTCTCTAAATTTTATCCAATGATTGTAGTTCTCGTCGAAGGTTGGTAATTCTGTTTTATAACGTGGTTTAGAGCGAATATTTGTAATTATTGATATAGGTCGAGCAGATGCAGTAGTATGAGTTCCTTCTAATTGGGTTAGAAGCTCCTCAGCAGCACCCACGGCATCGAAATACATCTGTTCGAATTCAGTTCGTACTGCGGCATGAGCTGCTTCGAGTTCAGTGTCTAGTACATGTTCTTCAATTGTTGTTTGCACTGCGTTAAAGACTTCAAAAATTGGAGTGACTTTGCTTAGTCGAACCTTAAACGAGGCGACAGTCGTGGTTCGATCATAGGTTTCCAGATATGATTTAAAACGAGTTAATGCAGCTTGGTATGAGGCACGTTCTTTTATGAGGGGTTTCAATGTGGATTCCATAGTATTTCAGTGAAAAAAATTTACGTAGGGTTGAGATAATGTCACCCAGTTGGTTGCGTTCAGATAGCGTGGTGTACTTGATTACAATAGAGTTGTCTTTGAACTTCTTGAGTTGCACTGACAGTACGACGATGCTAGATTTGAACTTCACACGTTATGAATTTCTGGTTAGGATCGAAGGATCAAAATGTTAGCTCAAAGTGGTTCTCAAAGAGCTATGAGATTTAGTAATAAATAATTTATTACAAAGTTCACTGTGTGCAATTTATTCGTAAACATAAATTCTCTGTGTACGTGATGATTCACCGTATCACAGAGTACAGAGTTCTTAATACTATCACAAGTACAAAATACAGGTTCAATGAGTCGTTCCTCTGCTGATGAGAGGAATGCACAAATGGTTGAATTGCGTCTCCTTGTGAATAGAGTGCACGAATAGTTGAGTTCCGTCTCCTTGTGAGAAGAATACAAGACTGGTTCCTGAGTGAGTGTCTTGTGCGTCACTAAAGACTTGAGGTTCTCACTCCCATATATAAGGCTTTTTCCCCAAGCTTAATGTTGGGTTATATCAAGGAAACTTCTCTATAATGTTGCTCCACAGGCTGGGCGTCTCATTGTTTCTAAGTAGTTTTGTAGATACGCATGTTTTCCTTCTTGGGTGTTGATGTTTATTAGGGCTACGGTCGTCTCTGGGCTATGTTGACCATATTGACAACATAAGTAAAAGTGAAAATGAAAGTTTCTGTATTGTACTTGAGCATCGTTTGTCCATATCTGGACACCACATGTTCAGTTATCTGAACATGGTTAGTTCCATCCTCGTATTCCTTTGGTTGTTGCATATAGATAATCTCATCGAGTTCTCCGTGAAAAAAAGCTGTTTTGACATCAAATTGTAAATACATTTTCAACATTCAACAACATTCGAGGTTGTAATAGATAAAATAATTCTTATTGAATCAAATCTAGCTACGGGATTAAACGTTTCATGATAATCAACTCCAACAGTTTGTTTGAAACCTTGAGCTACGAGTCTCGCCTTGAATCGTTGTATGCTTCCATTATTATTCATTTTCAGTTTGTATATCCATCTATTATTTATAACTTAATGATCTGATGACGGATTTACTAATATCCATGTTTGAGTTTTTCTCAATGAATTGATTTCATCATTCATTCTTTCTATTTGATCGCATTATTACATGTGATTGCGTCATTATAATCTTCCGGTTCATGGTATGATTACAATGTTTCCGTATGTGAGTCTGTCTGGTCGACGTATTTTATTTCTGTCTCTCAAATGCCGATCGTATTGATTTTTATTTTCTGTATCGTCTGATTCTTCATCTGAATTCATCTGCTAGTTGTTTTCTGATTGAGTAACGTTTTTCGATTCAACATCTATTTTTGTTGCGTCATCTTTCTGATATTCAAAGCTTATGATATTCGACTCTGATTTCCATTCTTCATTTAAATTGATTTGTAAATTTTACATCTCTACGTATTTTGACTTGTCCTCTTTCAGGAAGCCAAATTCGGAATCCCTTTGTGTTTTCATCATATCCAACGAAAATGCCTTTTTTTGGCCTTGATATCTCACTTTCGTCTCTTTTCTTTTGGGATATTCGGGAAAGTATACTTTTTCCCCGAATATTCTGAGATTTGAGATATTTGGTCTCTTCTTGAGCCACAGTTCAATGGGTGTTACTGCTTTCTCTCCATTGGTTTCTGTTCTATTTAAAGTGTAAACAGTATAATTAACTGTCTCGGCTCACATTTTGATTGACAGCTTTCCTGCGTGCAAGGACGTTTTAGCCAAATCAACTGCAATTCTGTTTTCCCGTTCGGCGGAACCATTCTGTTCCGGAGTAAATGGTACCGTTTTCTGATGTGTAATACACATGTCGATGTGTTAATTCCTCAATTTCTCTATTGGCAAATTCAAAATCGTTATCTGACCTGAAAATTTTTATAATATATATTTTCCTTTTTCTAAATATTTGTTGGTTTTCTTAAAGAAATCTTCTAGATATTGTGGTGTCTCTGATTTATTTTTGATGAAATATCTATGAAAACTTCTCCAATGACTGTAGTCATCTTTCATCATTAAGAAATATCTAGCACCTCCAAATGAATTTTCTTGCATTGGACTGAGAGATCTGAGATGGATGAGTTCTCTGATACGTTCAGATTTTGTATTGCTTTTCGGAATGGTAATTTTTCCTAAAATGCAATTTTCACAGCAAAATTTCTGATCTTTAAAAATGATGATCTCAGATTTTTAAATTTTCTTCACATCATCCACATTCTAGTGAGCCATTCGTTTGCGAGGAGAAAAGATAATTGCATACTGCCGCATTTGCTTGATGCTCATGTGCAATGATTTTAAATTTCATTATGAACAACCTTTTCTTTCTCCTGCAACGATATTTCTATTCTTCATGAATTTACATATTTTGTCATCAGAATATTGTTGTAATCCCTCATCAAGAGCTGCATCCACCGAGAAAAGATTAAAGCTTAATTCTGGTACGTGAAGAACATTACTGAGATATTTTCATACCCATTTTTTTCCATTAAAAGCAAAAATATCGATATCTCCTGATCCAATTACTTGAATATATTTTCCATCACCTATTTTAATATTCTCTACTGTATCGAATTTTCTATATGATGAGAACCATTCTCGACGATTCGACATATGCTCAGTCGCACCCGAATCCAAATGCCATGCATCACTGGATGCTTCTAAATTATAGTCTACAGACATAGTTCCAATGAGTTGCCTCTCCTTTTCTTCCAGTATATCTTTCGTTTGATATTGCCGCTTTTCGGTTTCGGCATTCCTTGATCCAATATCCTGTGACAACAACGACATATGCCTGGTCTGGAATTACCTTTCTTAAAATTTTTCTTATGTCGATGCTTATTTACAGCAAAAGCGATATTCTCTGTCCTTTCTTCGGTTTCTGCCTTCGTCTCCTCAACAGTGAGCCTTGAAATAGAATTTGTGAAAGTTCTTTCATTAGGTTGAGTCGATTCCCACGCGCTAATGAAATGACGGAGGTAATATCATTTAGTGATAATCATTTGATTTGAAATTTTCTCACCCAAAATTTGCAATCGATGTGCAAGGTTCTCGACTTTTACGATGTAAGCAGCTATATCATCTCTTGGTTCCTTCTGGTAACTGTATCATTGTTGCAACAACATGTGCACACTAGAATTAAACTTTTGTTCATAAACAGATTTTAATTTTTCCCACATATCCTTAGCTTATTCACAATTGATAATATATAAGAATGGTTTTTTATCTACCGATGTGGCGATTATGCGTTGAGCTGTACTATCAAGTTTTGTCCAAGTAGCACGTACTCGATTCGCTGTATCATCTTCTGGTGCAGGATTCACCTGTAGCTCTTTCCCAAGCACTACAGGATTTCAAAGTAACGCGTACTTGAAATTTCCATAAAGACCAATTTTCCAATCCTTATTGATACGAATAGTTTCGTTCTCCATCACGATTAGGATTATGTTTCACGTTTGCTCGCGGTCGGATATTTAATCCACGTGGTTTTTCAATTCAACTATACTTTCTTTTTTTTTTGATTATTTATTGCTTCTTTCGTAATTTAGGCCCATAACCTGTTGATTGGTTATGCAGTGGTGAACAATAAATAAGAAATATACGGATTTAGCTGAATGGATATATTTTGGTTATATATGAGTGCACGTGTCTAGTTATAAAACAACTGAAGATCGCGTATCGAAGATAAACAAAAATACCAACTTTCAATAATAAAATTATATATATAAAATTTTAGTGAACTTTATACTCTATAACAAATATGTTTTGATAATCTGAATGGCGATTTTTTATATCATTTCTAAGAATGATTCTAAAATCGACATGCTGCAGCGGCTTCATCAATAAATTTACATTTACACTGGAGCATCATAGAATGCTATGCTGTGTATATATCGTCCGGATCGTTCAAATTCGATGGTTTCGCAGCTTTCTCAAAACGATTAAGATACTATATTCTTTTTTTGGCAAGACACTCAAACAAATTCGATAGACTTATCCCTGAGATAGTCTCAAATTGTGGATGCCAAAAACGAAGATGCGTAATAATATGAAAGAGCTTATTTTATTGCCAATCAGGAAAGGGAGTTAAATGTAATTTTACGATATCCAAGAATATTGCCAATATTATTCCTCCTTGAAAGTAATCGATTCAGACAGTTTTCTAATCTTGTTGATCGCTCCTATGATGGAACGACTTACTTTAAATTCAAATTGGTTATATTGGGACAAATATTGCAAAAGCTTCGCAGTTAAAACTTATTCAAAAATTTTTGTATTTTCATTCAATAGACGTATCCACTCGAACCACAGCTGCATCGAATTCCTCCTTGGAAATTTCAGTTCCTCCATTCCCGATCTGAGATCTCTCTCTCTCTCTCNCT